TCGGTCACACGGACTCCTCGGTTCCCGAGCCTACAGCTGACCTGACCCAAAGTATTGATTGTCTTCAAAATCATATCTACATTTAGTAACTAAGAGTAACTGAAGGATCTTAGTAAGTATGATAGTTACAGACCGAAAGCTCCATTTGTAGATCGGGTGAGCACAAAAGTACTGTACTCGGTAATGTTCTGCATATTTCGTGCAACATTAAACTTACATTTACTTTTAGTAGTTCTCAATAGTTGGAACTAGAAATTCTATTGCATGTAGATACCCTAATAATCATCTCAAAACTCCAGTTATTTGGTAATGCCAACCCGGGGCGCCGTGAGCATGAATTATGGCGAATATAGCGTTACGGAGAGCACTGTGTACGGTACCATCATATGCTGGAGGCCTTGTCGAGTTAAACAGATGTGGCGGAGAGATTGCATAAGCTGAGTTGTCGCATCCGGAATTTCTTGGAGAGATAGCCAGGTTTCCAAGATTTCCGAGACTGAACGAACCCACCCTAGTCAATCTAGATTACATATACTCCGTAGATGGCTGGCTATGCGGGGAAACCGAATCACCAATTCTTAGGCCCCCCGTCGATGAAAGTTGCCAGAAACGGCGATGCACGATCGAGACTTCGATCCGTATTCGTGTAGTGGCTGCTGAGCAGCTAGGTAACCAAAATACTCACACAATTTAGTGCAAGACATTGTCTTACTCCAGCCATTTTCTGAGGTCAGAAGCTTAATCATGGAGCAAGTTATAACTAACTATTTAAAGGGAAAGAAAGTAGCATGTGATCCGACATGACGGCAAACCAAATAATCCGAGTCCGGCGGTCAGCGGCAGGCGGTGAGGGGGAAGAAGCAGCGGGAACCATGGTTGCCATGAGCTACCGCCTGTTGTGTCTGCCGCGAACCATGGGAGCGAGCGGCTGCCGACCACCGGATGCGCGACGGGCTGGTCCTTGAATGGAGGAGTCCCTGGTAGATAGCCTCAGCTCTCCCGTTGATTGCTCCTCCATCCCTCCGCTCTCCAAGGTCGGTTCACTCGAATTTGTTCGGCTCAGCGTGTATATCTTGTATCCACAGGATTATTTCAGCTGGCTGGCTGTGCGGGTTGCCCCTTGTGTGCTGAGTTGTGTGTGTGTGTGTGTGTGTGTGTGTGTGCGTGTGTGCGTGTGTGGTCCCTGCTCACTTTTTTCCTCTTTCTATTTTTCTCTCCACTTTTCACGTCGTCGCTGTCTCATCCGTGGAGGAGACTTTCTGCACGATAACCATGGAGGACGACATGTCAGGTCATTATCAGATGCTGGAGGAGCTGGGAAGTGAGTGGTCCTGCGGAATGTGTCAGTGGAGGCAATCGCATCGGGAACTGACCGTTTGCACCTGCAGGTGGAAGTTTTGGAACGGTGTACAAGGCCATTGAAAAGGCTACCGGAGAGATTGTGGCGGTTAAACATGTGCGTGTGACTCTGCATGGCTTTTTCGCCCGGTGAACGTATCCATTAATTGACATGCACCCGCTGCTACAGATCGATCTCGAATCCAGTGAAGATGATATCCAAGAAATCCAGCAGGAAATCTCCGTCCTTGCTACCTGTGCGAGCCAATTCGTGACGCAATACAAGGCGAGTTTTCTGAGAGGTCATAAGCTGTGGATTGTGATGGAGTATCTCGGTGGTGGATCCTGTCTGGACCTGGTAATCCATGAGTGACCTGTCGAATCTGGGTGCGCTTCGCTAACCACTTCTAGCTGAAACCCGGCGTTTTTAACGAAGCCCACGTCGCCATTATTTGCCAGCAACTGCTGCTGGGTCTGGATTATCTGCACAGCGAAGGCAAGATCCACCGCGACATTAAAGCCGCCAATGTACTTCTGTCGCATACCGGAAAGGTCAAGCTGGCGGATTTCGGCGTGGCCGCACAGTTAATCAATATCAAATCCCAACGCAACACCTTTGTCGGAACGCCGTTTTGGATGGCGCCCGAAGTGATCCAGCAGGCTGGATACGACTACAAAGCGGATATCTGGTCCCTGGGTATTACGGCGATCGAGATGATCAACGGCGAGCCGCCACACGCCAGCACTCACCCCATGAAAGTGCTCTTTTTGATTCCCAAGGAACCTGCCCCCCGCTTGCAAGGCGACGACTATAGCAACACCTTCAAGGACTTTATTGCACAATGCTTGACCAAGGACCCCGACCGAAGACCGAGCGCCAAGGAGCTTCTGAGACACAAGTTCATCCGCAATGCGGGGAAAACGGAGGCTTTGCAGGAGCTGATTCATCGGAGACAGGACTGGGATGCTGGTCGGGGCGTGACACACAAAGTGAAGTACTATGCAGAGTCTCTGTAAGTAGCCCGTCCCCGAACACACATCACATCCACTAACTACTTTGCTGCAGTAATACGATTCGGAACCTGGATGATGATGACGGATGGGTCTTTGATACCGTGAAAGCTCCCACGATGGCTATCCGCGAAGAGCCCGACGACTTCGAGAACGAGCCAGAACCCCAGGACTGGGTGTTTGATGAAGCCTCCGAGCTGATGGACGACTTGCACATCTCTAGCCCACCTATTCCACCGAAGCATGCAACGAATACCGCCGTTAGACGGGCACCGGCTCCCGAACGCAGTCCATCCTTGCGGCGTGCCAAGCGACGATCCAGCGGGGTGAAGCAACCTCTGGGGGTGGACATGAGCTTTGGGAACAGTCCCTCGACCGTCCGTCAATTCCGTCGTGTGTCGGATAAAATCCCCGCCGACGCTTCATACCCCCCGCAGTATTCCTACACGGACGAAAATGCCAGTCCCAAGACGCTCTTCTCGGAACCCAACAGCAAGGAAGCACAGCTGGGCCGTCGCGCATACAGCAAGGCGGTGGGACTTGCCTGTCAGGAGGTGTTGGGCACGACGGGAGATGACGAGAAGCGCGAGGCGATTTCCCGGCTGGCCGAGGCGTGGAGTGATCTGGAAATGATCGACCCCGAGGGTCTGTATCATATCGTGAGGGCGATGACGGAGCGACTGCAAGGGTAAGTGGCGATATTTCCTGCAGCGAATGGCAAGGGAAGCTGATGAAATGGCGGTTACTCTAGCGACCCCAAGCTGGCCAGCCTCGTCCCACCCGCTCCACCGGCCGAATCCCCACAGAGGCCGCGACTGGTTCTGGCACAAAACAACCCACATCTGAAAAGCCACCGGCGCCGCCAGAGTGCGGCAGTGGCCGAGCCCAACCTGCAGCCGGCGCAGCTGGCGAATCTCCCGGGCCAGCAAGTGCCGGGGATGGAGCACACGAAGCAGTTGTCGGATGTGCTCTATCAACGATGGTCGGAAGGCCTCCGCAACCGCTGGCCGGGGATCTAAACTCCTCCTTGTACCCTTGACGTTATTGACAGGTCCCTTGCGGCTTCCTTGTCTTTTGTGTGATTTGTTTTATTCTTCATTATCTGTACAAAATCGGTTCCCGGGGCGTTTACATGTTGGGTCCATGGGCTTGTTGTTTGCTGCACCTATTGATTTCAATTCTACATAATTCCCCTCGCTTGGTACGGTTTCCTTGCTGCATTAGGCTTCGTGGGTTGGGGCCAACCTGGAGGCCAGGTGCTGGTCGAACTGGTGTGGCAGCGTGGCACAACCCGTGGGACTTGGTTCGATGGCTCAGTTCCGAATCTGCGCGACGACTTTCATTTCTGATGATTATATTTCGGGCGAGCATGTGTACTAAATTCTGTTCTGATAGATAGGTCTTTTACTGCTTTTCTTTTCTCTTGTTCTTTTCATGATGTGATAATTGTTGTTGTTGTTTTGGATGGAAGGATAATCTTGGACAGTGTATGGAACTTTGTGTGAACTATAGCTGGTGTTGGTGGAACTGAGGCGATCTGCGACCTGCATGTATTTGCTGCATGTATGGGTAACCACAATTCTAAGTGAAAAATTTTATAAATTAAATCTCCTACGTGATGTATATTAGGAACAACATGATGGTACAAAGTAATAACGGAAATACCAGCCGAGCAGGCCATCCAGACTCCGAGAAGACGGGTCGGGACGATACGAAGATTTAAAAATAGGAGCAGTAATTTGGGAGATGAGAGAAGTGTGCGGGAAGTAAATACGTAGGGAGAAAGCAGTTGCAGGTAAATTGGCATCACGTTGGGGCTGTCAACCACATGAGGAGGGGAGGATGATCCTCATTGATCATTGCTGTTTAACATGTTCCCCCTTGCGTGCATGTCTCCCCGCATCGTGCAGCAGGGAAAGATAATAAAATGTGATGGATGATCATGTAGATAGATAGATAATCATATACTATCTACCAAAATAATACTCTCTATACTGGGTATACAACTTCTTGCATTGCCCATCCTCATCTAACTACCGGGTTAGTAATTTCCACAGACATCTCCCATTACCCATCACCCCCTGAAAGAGAAAGAGAAGAGAAATGAGAGAAATGAGAACGCGGTGAAACGCAAGACTGCAGGCGGAAGGGATGCGCGTTGCGACCCGCTGGAGCCCATCCACTTCCCTCCTTCGCCCGCCAACTTGGTGGCTTTAGTGACCTTCACTAAGACCCGTTGGCTCTTAGCCATACTTTCGCTCCCTCGGCCAGACCTTTTCCTCTTGTGCTCGTGCTCTTCGCATTTTTATTTGATGGGATTTGATTACACTCCTTCTCTCTTGGCCGTGTTGCTTCCCGGCCCCGTTTCTTCTATTTTTCCTTCTTTCCCTTGCCCTGACTGACTGACTGACCTTCTTCTCTTTCTTCAATCTCCTCCTTTTCTGCCTCTTAACGGCTACCATTTATTTGTTTATGCGACTGATTGGCCCATACATTCTTTAGCTTCCTTATCAGCCAATTCCTCTCCCTCGTGCC